GGAAAAAAAAAAAAAAAAAAAAAAAAAGACACATGTTAACATGGGCTGTGGGAGAGGAGGGAATTCCTCTAGAACGCCCAGTTCTTAAAGTTCCCTGTGTTGCCATAATCTTCCTACTGATGAGGAGGGCTGAATGTAGCTCCTTCTAAGGTCCAAAGCAACCCCTTCAGTCAACCAGACAGCTTGTGAGAAAGGACAATACGTCCTCTTTCCTTCCCCTCACTGCACATACACTGCCATTGAAACACTAATTCTTTATTCAACTATCAACTGCACACTAAAAACCCCAACACTAAAATACATGGAAATATTCTTATTATTTTAAATAAGAATTAAGGAAAAAACAGGACAAATAATAATTAATTCCATTACTGTTCATGCTCACAGAAAAAAAGAACGGAATATCATTAGGGAACCACAGTTTCAAACATCAAGCTGTGCGTTCCAGCCATGTGGACTCTAATGGTTTTACATCTTTGAATGTACCATGATTGGTGACCTCATAGAACGGGGATCTGAGGAGACAGCTTTGTGGTGAAAAAGAAGGGTATTCAGCACTTTATTTTAAACTATTTTTTAAATGAGGTCTCCCAAAGACATGCAGTGCTGGCTTCCTGTCCTAGTGCCACCTCTCTCATCCATGCACTATCCCATGCTATAATACTCCCACAGAATCTTTCTGGAGCATGGAGTTGGTCTACAGGGGAGGTACTTTTTTTTATTCTATTATGTTGTTTTTAATCTTTGTTATTATTTTATAGTCTAAACAGTAATGGGTTAGATCAGAACAGCACATGCTGGTGAATCACTGTGTGAAAGCAGTAATCCAGGCACTAAGAGGTAAAACGAGGTGAAGTCAAGATTAGTCATATGCACAATGCTCCTCTTACCTTCACTATTTGAGGTATTCATCAAATAATCCCCTACAGGTACTGAATCTTTTTTTGTTAATAAAAGCATTTGGAGATCCCTTTTAACTTAATTTTTCAGCTTAAGACATTTATCCTAACTGACTTCTTTTCTTTTTCTTTATTTGCATCAGACTGAACTCTAAAGAAGGAAAAGACTGGTCATTTAGCTCATCAAATGGACTGAATAAATAATGTATATGTTCACATAAAGCCAATAGGAAATATTCACTTTAAATTACATATATTCTATGGAATGTATTATACCCTGAAACCTTTTCATCACTTGCATACTGGTAATAGACAGCTGAAGACATATTCTCTATTTGCTATGATTACTGGAAGTGCTTTTTTGATGTTTATAAAAATAGATATAAGGATTTATGGAAATCTTAGCAGCAGATGATGACAGTGATCGATTGTAAAAATAAGTTAGATAATTTGCAGGCCTACCTTTTATTATAAACCTACCTGCTTTTAAGTCCTGGTTGAAGCGACAATATTTAGAGTGCTCAAGTGTAGGTAGGCATTGCTCAATGGGTACCCAGACATATGTCTCTGGACACAATAAGTCAGATGGCCTATACTGACCCTATGAAGAATAAAAAAAGAATAGACATATCAGTTACATAACATCCCAGCTACAAGCCTCCAGAGTTCACTATGTACAAGGAATGGTTTTAATCAAGTCTAAACAAAATGATCCAGAAACAACTTCACCATAAACATTAAGTGACCCTATTAGCGATTTCTGCACCATCTCTGAAACACAAGCTTGATTTTGGTATCTTTTAAAAAAAGTTTCTAAAATTAATATCTATATAGATATAGATAAATTTTAATATATTTCATGGTGTCCAAGATGAATACTCAAGTCTTGGTGTTGCTTCTTTGAACCCTAAACTCAGTTATCACCTAAAGTCCTGTTGAGTTGGTGCGGACAATAAAAAACTCAACACTACAAAAGCAGCTTGTTTGAAATGTTCATTCGAAACACAAAAAACACCCATCATTAAGGCAGCAAACTATTAGTTATGAACCATTTTGTTGTATACCCTTAAATAAAATATTAAATGTATATTGAATTAACAAAAATGTTCCAAGTCATTCCAAGAATATCATAAGTAGCATTAGGAAAGCCTCAGAGATTATCCTTTTAACAAAAATTCTATCTTCTCAAGATTACGAAACGTTTCTAGAAACGAAAAATAACAAAAATATTCCTTATCCCAGCAGTTAAAGAAAATTATCACCTCAGCAATAATTTGTCGCTCTAATCAGTCAATTCACCCTGTTTAAAACAAGTTTGATCTTTGAGCTGTTACTTACTTTGAAACCCTACCTTTGACCTATTATTCATTTTAGTCACTCCCCCCATTGAACCTCCACACACAGTTCAAGAAATGTGCTGGCACTATCAAACATGACTAGTTTTCAAACAGAAAACATGTATCATGTTACAAAAACAAGGGGTATGCTATGCAAAGTAATAAAGCGAAGAACAAATTCTAGAGACATAGGGTCTTAAACCCACTGCTCAGAAGAGGAATTATGACAAATCACACTGAATGTAGCAGAGTCAGAAGCCTGTATCTCAAACAGTTTCAGCCATTTCTTTAAACAGTTCATTTTGTGTAATAAAAAAGGCAATCAGTTGATGTTCATCTTCTACTGCCAAAAAAACGGCAGAGACTTCTCTTGAAAAAAGTTGACGCTAAAGAGCTAATAGAACAGGGGTTCTCAAACTGGGGGTCAGGACTCCTTAGGGAGTCGCAAGGTTATTACATGGGGGGTTGTGAGGGGGTCCAGCATTTATAATGGTGTTAAATACATTTAAAAGTGTTTTTAATTTATAGGTGGGAGGGGATCACAATCAGAGGCTTGCTATGTTCAAGGGGTCACCAGTACCAAAGTTTGAGAAACACCGATAGAAGATCTGAACAAGGAATTAAGTTGTTATTGCAGCTACACTTCAATGACAACAATGTCCTTGAAACCATCTCATTCACAGAATCAAATTAATCAGTGTTCTGCTCTTCCACTTAAATACGCAAATCTTTATGCAGTGGCACATTTGATCGTGAAGAATTAGAAGAAATAGATTTTCTGAATTTTTTGAGAAGAGCATAAATCCTCTGTCTCCTGCTACTAAACTCTCGACAATATTTAGATGATCTGGTTTTATTACTTTCAATTAATTGCTTCCTGCCAATTACTTCAACTTTAGACATGCTGAGTTAGAAATTCATACACTTAAAATACTATTATAATAAAATTAAAATACTAATCACCCATTTATAGTACTGATCAGCAGCTTTCATACTTATTACAGTTAGAATGAGAAACAACCACCTCGTAATTGCAACTGAAATAATAAGATGAACTAATCAGCTTTACACAGAAGCACATCAAATGTCCAGGGTACATTCCTGAAGTTTCTAGCAACCCAAGCCCTTCTAACGGTTCCCAGCTCCATTCACTCCATCCTTCCACTTCAAATGATAATTCATTCTGCTCACTAGCAATGCCTCTATTTTCAATCATCCAGGGGAGGGATAGCTCAGTGCTTTGAGCATTAGGATTAAATTCAATCCTTGAGGGGGCCATTTAGGGATCTGGGGCAAAAATCTGTCTGGGGATTGGTCCTGCTTTAAGCAGGGGGTTGGACTAGATGACCTCCTGAGGTCCCTTCCAACCCTGAGATTCTATGACTCCAATTTGTAGGGTTTTGTTTAAGGCTTCTGTATAATCAATACCTTTTGTTGGATTAAACTGATTACTTTGCATTTACAGACAACCAGGAAGTTTTCATTTAGAGTAGCCTACTGTATACAGTGTTTGCTTAAAACATGCAATAAAACACGCAATAAAACAAATACTTTAAAAACTCATTATATGATCTTGATTTTCCCATTTGAAAATCATTCAGGATCAGTTTGTAATTATTGCTGTTTTACTAAAAGCAAATTTCTACATTAAGTTAAAACAATATTCCTCAACTCCAAGTATAAGCTTAAAGCTCATGGCTAAGACGAGAATGTTCTAAAGCCAAAGACTAGAAATTGCTTTATTAAACCACTTTTAAATGTTATGCTTTCTAAACAGAGCTGGTTGAATAAAACGTTAGTGTAACACTTGCAGCACAATTTAAGTCACCATTACCCCAACGAAACAATAAGGGGACTTGGAAACCAGTTTGTCTTTTCAGCTACACTGAGTAAAAAACCGTTTGTATTACAAGTGTAATTATTTATGGATTCAAGCACCTTTTTTCAAATGGTCAAGAGTAGAAAAATATTTAAGTAACCATCTCTGAGAGCTACCTAAACAATGGGGTAAGGCAATTTAACTCTTGCTCAGTCTCTTGGATACTGTACTTTCATCTACATAAGCAAAGAGATCTTGGTCACTCATCTTAACTCAATTTTCCCTAAAATGCATTTACACTGGGTTTGAAAATATATTGAGTTTAAGGTTCTCCATGAGTTTCGCAAATTAAATAAACGTGCAGCCCTCTGAAAAATTACATGGATTGTTTGTGTTTTGAGGTGAAGTTTTAGGTATAAAAGTATTAACTGGCAGATTCTAAATCAAAGAAAAAGATGATGGGCCTCTTGAGTGGTGCACAACACAACGGCAGAGCGCAAACTTTTCAAAACTTTATAACACAAAATGTGAAAGAAATGGCTACCTCAAGCACTGCCTGTAGCAAGTACAAAAGCAGAAGTCCAAGATGTTTTTAAAAATGGATAGTGATATGTAACTGTCAAAAAACACCACATTCAAGGAACAAAGTGGGGCCTGAAATTAAAATTAACTATATCCCTGGCAAATCCACAAACTTTCATTACAGATGGAACATTTTTGTCATAAGATATACTATTAAAATGCAATCTAATTTAGGGCTATCACAGCTTCATAACAGTTTAGAGTCCCACCATCACCCTCTCCTCCCCTCAGGAACTCATAATATTTCAGTGATATACCCCCAAACCCAATTCTTTACATATTAAGTAGAGTAGCAATTTGAGAAAATTTCAAAGTTGACTTGAGTATTTAGTTTCACATCTCTCATTAAAAATCTCATTTTTAAAATGGGAGTTGTGTGGCTAAATTCATATTGGCTTTCTATTTATATTGTGCCATTAAAACTCACTGCAGCATGAAAAAAGTTATATCCATGAGTCATACTAATAGATGTAAAATATCTACATTCCCACGTACCATGGTGGAAATTTACCACATATACAAAGGTTTTTTTCAATATAAACTCTTAGGAAATCTTACATCCTTCAGTGAGTATATATTATCAGAGAGGAGGAAAACATATTACAGTCCCTGGAATCATTCAGTTGGGCCCTTTATATTTTTCCTGGGTTGTCACCTGAAAGTTTTCATCATGATCTTTGAAAGAAAAAGAACCTGAATTACAAATACCGAAGACAAAAGATGTGTGCATATAGAAAGGAGTGAAATCATCCTAACTCCCTTCTATGGTGTTTGACATTTATGAATTAATTACAATATTCAGCTTGTTTAGATTTAGACAATCTCAATATAGATTTACAGTTTACACTACACTGTAATCTACCATAGCTAGAAACAAGTTCCCTCTAATATTAGAAAGGGGATGTAGCATATGCTGTTCATCTGGTGATTTATGAGATACTGGAGCTTATGCCTGTCCTTGTCCCAAGACGAAGCATTGCCTGTCCTGAACCTCTAGCCATTAAAATTTTGTGGGGAAATTCCACATGGGGAAAATTTCCAGGAATTTGCAAAAACCAGTTTTGTTGAGGAGACAAAATGTCAGTGCATTTTGGGTTGGGATTACCCTCCATAAGAAGTTGTTTTAATTTCTACTGTAGAAAAGATGAACAGCACTTCAATAACCCTTATTTAAAATCCTAAACATTCCCAGGACCAAAAATAAAATGAGTGTCTTCATAAAAATCACACATCTTGTCAATTGATTTGTTTAAAAAAAAAAAAAAGATACTGAAAACAATCATCACTGAAAGATTTCTCTGAGACTGATGTTTCCTTCTAGAGGGCTAATTTACTGCCATGTATAAACAGAGCCATTTCTTTTACAAAAATAAGACGTGCTCTATTTTTATTTTCACTAGTGGGCTTTTCCCCTTATTATATTTAATATAAAAATAGAAAAAAATCTTTAATATGACATTCAGGATATTATTAAGCATTCTTGGATATTAATTGGAAACTTCTGGAGACAAGCTTGGCAGACTTACAATAAAACTTAAATTAACAATTCACACATTGCCATTTTTTGTTTTACAGTTTCCAAATCAAAATCATCAGAACCTTCTCTGAACTTTTGTCCCAGAGCAAGGGCAAAGGTTTTAATGAGACTTCAGTCTGGAGATTACTTTTTAAATATTTTGAAAAATCTGAGGGATTTGGTGAGCATTTGAGATGAAAATAGTCAGCATAGTTTGTTTTCACAGTCTAAGTCAAATTTGAAATGTAAAAGCACAAAAGAAAGATAATAGTCTCAAAAACAAAAAGGATTAAATACCAGTAGCATTGAACAAACAAGAAAGGAAGGTTAAACACACATTTAATTCT